TTAACATTAAAAAAATTAAAAAAGGCCTATGCTTAGCTGAAAATCTCGAGTTATTTTTCTTGAGTGCAGACCCTTCCGCTGAAATAAGCCGAAAATTTAAAAGGGAGCTGCAAAACTGTCTAACTCTACACCGAGAAATTTAAAATGACTCGGTAAGAAATAGTAAGCAAAGTAAAACTACAAATTTATTAAAGAGGGAAGAAAATCTCAGAACTTTAAATGAAGAAAGAAATTCTGAAACTGAAAGTGATTTTATTCCACTGAAAAAACGTTCTCTGTTGATTATACTGAGCGATGACGACGAAGAAATTTATTAAACTAAAGTTGCGCTAAATTAAAATATGCAATATTTTTTGTTTTGTGTTGTACATACATATATATTTTTAATAAAAATTAAGTTGTTTATATATAATTAAAAAATATTTGTTTTTAATAAGGTTTTGGACCATAACCTCCCCTTTTATACTGCCTCTGAGTCTCGTACAACACAGTTTCACACAACACCGCATTTTCTAGAAACCTATCTACCATGTTATACGAGGGTTACAAGTTGTAGGTTGACGTTAGGACAATTCACTTTTTAAAAGTCCAAACGTGCAAATATCTGTTGATGATACATCAGATTTAGTAGGGATATAAATGAAGGGTATGGTATCGATATCAGTTTCTTTTTCAATTTTTTCCAGGAAATTAAAAGTGGATTTTGAGGTGCGGTTGCTTGCTTTGTCTTGATACAGTTCTACAGATTAATGACATTTTGGGTAAAGAGAAGGTATTTCATATTTGAAAACTGGATATAAAATATGTTCCTGGAAATATGTAGAGTTGCTCTTAACAGTTTTCTGTACTCTCTTTAATTTTCATTTGCCCTTCTATCAAAAACCAGTAACAATCATCAATCCCTTTGCAAAACTTTCTTTAGATTCTTTGAAACACGTTCTAATACTTTTTTTCCCTCTCTGATGATAATAAATGGATATATTTTTATTGTGGGTCATTTAAATGTACCCAAGATTCATCTATTGAGACAACATTTTTCTATTTTTGTCCGAATAATTGTTTCTCATAGAGAATTCTGCAGTGTGTTCTGCTTTCGGCGATATGTCGTGGAGAAAGGCAGTGCACATTATACATTTTTTTTGCCTTTTTAAGATTCAAATCAGCATTTATCACTTTATTTACAGTTGGCACTGAGCATTTTAATGATTATGAAACTGCCCTTCACGGATTTTCTGCTAACACTGAATTTTTTACGTTTGAAAAATTCGAAATATTCCGTTTTTAACTTGGATATGTTTTGAACAATTTTTCGCCTTGAAAATAAGCTTTGACTTTTCCCCCTTTCTTTTTGACAATATTATCTATTGTTGATCTACATATGGAAAAATCATGGCTTTCACAGCATTTTTTAATAAACTAGATACCAATTTTCTTCGGAAAGAGCATAAATATAGCCTTCTGTCCATTGCTTATTTAAAAGCACCATTCTGCACAAAAACAAAATTGTCAAGTAGCAGATGGTAATTTAAACTTTCGAAAATATTGTTGCAGTTAAAAAGAAATTTTTCCAAGCAGGCGATTTTTTTTTATAGCAAAGCAAAGTCATCTAAAAAAATGTGTGAACAACCTGTAGGGACTGATTTCCAAAGTATAAATTCTTTTGGTTGGCCATATAATCTCATCGCTTGAAATCTTTAAATGCACAACATAAACATTCTCATCTTTTCCTGGATATATGCATTTCAATAAATTTTGCTACAAGCCAGAGAATTCTTTCTGAACCACTTTCTGTGAGAACATCACCTCCTTTTAAATTACAGTATTTGTCTCTTCTCCAAGATTGATTTAAAGTACCCAAATACTCTGACTGGAATCTTTCTTAGATGTTCCCTTAGATCTATTGGCCTCTCCATACTTTTTTAACATTGATATTAACAAGTGATCAAAATCGGAAACTCTCACCATTGGATTACTCTGCAAAAACACTGCAGTGCTTGACGGAATCAAACCATCTGGGCCCTTGCACAAGAAAGTCAACGGTCTTGAATTTTCACAGCTTCATAAATGCAAAGTGAATACAGTCTGAAAGATTACCAATTAGATTTTGTAGTGGTTTATGTAAATGGAAATTTAGATGGAAGAGTTTTTCGCGATGAAACTAATTCAGAAAAAGTGTGTCTTTTAAAGAGATCATTATACGGTCTTAAACAATCAAGACATCAATGGTACAAAAAGTTAGATGAAAAATTAAAAATCTCTGAAATTTAAATTTCTTAATTCAGATAATTGTGTTTACATTAAAAAGACGTCTAACAGAAACTATTATAATTGTTTATGTAGACGATCTTATTGTTTTTACTGATTCTAAGCAAATGTATGAAACAATTTGCGATAGTTTAGCTTCTGCTTTCAAAATGAAAAACTTAGGAAAATTACATCATTGTTTAGACATAGAATTTTCCCAAAATGAAAATACAATTAAAATTTTTCAAAAGAAATACACTGATGATATTTTAAATCGGCATAATATGCAAAATGCTAAATCCATGTCTTCACCTATAGATAATAGCAAAAAATTATCAAAAGAGATGAGTCCTAAAAACAAAAACGAAATCACTGACATGAAAAATGTTCCATTTAGAAATCTGACAGGATCACTAATGTCCCTTTCAGTAGCTAATAGGACAGATATTACATACACTGTGAATTTCTTAAGTCAATTTAACAACAATTCTGGAAAAGAACATTGGCATGCTGCGAAAAGAATACATCGATATCTAAAAGGAACCCAAGATCAAGGACTAATTTATACGAAAACAGGAAAATCACTCATTGCCTTTGTGGTTGTAGACTGGACATCAAATGTCGATGATCAAAAATCTCACACAGGTTTTGTATATATACTAAGTGGTTCAGCCATAACTTGGGAATCACGAAAACAACACAGTGTAGCTCTGTCCTCAACGGAGGCGGAATATATGGCTCTGTCTGAGGCCTCGAAAGAAACAGTCTACTTATGTCGTTTCCTGAAGGAGCTGGGTTACAACTTAGAAAATCCAAAAACAATATACTGTGACAATCAAGAAGCTCAGAAAATTACGAAGAAGTCAGTGTTTCACTCACATACAAAGCACATAGACATTCGGCATCATTTTGTGCACAAAGTATATGAACGCAGTGAATTGGATGTGCAGTACATACCTGCCAGTGAAATGGAAGTGACGTCTTAACCAAACCCCTAACTCCTGTTAAGCATCAAAACTGTTGTACAATTCTAAGACTGAATATTGTTTAATATGTATTTTTGATTTACTTTCCAGAAATAGGAGAATCAACGTCAAAAGGGAGTATGTTGGACCACCACCATTGATTCTCCTAGCGCATGCACATGATAAGCAAGTTCTCTGCTACGCAATACTTTTCTTAATAGTTAGCCAACGTCAATGATGAGTATCGCATGTAAGCGAGAACTGCTAAGTGCTGTATAATCATGTATCTTACTATGTTTCTACTCTGCTGTTCATGTTTCTATACTGTTGTTCTACGTCTTCATAGCATAAATAAATGTTTGTCATGTAGATGGAAGACGTCATTTTATTCTACAGTTATTCAATTACTAATGTAAAAAAATTGTTTAGGCATTGATGCATGAGTCATTACTCAAATTGTCATATGTTGATAAACATATGCTGATGAAAGCAAAATAAAATAAATAATGATTTGCCAGGTTGGCGTCAGGGATATAAAATATTAGCAGTTGTAAATTAATGATGTTCCTATGTAGAAATATTTTGGTTTGAGATGTATGCCAAGCAGATATGGAGCCAAATCATTGATCACACAAATTTATGCTAAAATGATGGTTTCCTCAATAATGAGATATTTTATTTAGTGGATTCTTCACATGTTTTTTTACTGGGGAAAAAATCAAATCTGCATGCGTAAAGCACAAAATAAATTCTTAAAAAAACTTTTGTTGATGGCTTAAGGTCCATATTTTAGATCATTCCAAACCTCGGACTTTGTACTGTATTATGGAGATATAGTATTAGCAGCAAACAATTCCTATTCAAAATTGCTTAATCACCTGAATATATATACATAATCAAGAGATAAGAATGAAATCATAATAATTAATTTTATTTGAATTTATTGATTAAGATTTATATACATTTTCCTAAATTTAGCCATATAGCCTTTTTTTTTTTTCATTTATATTTTAATTAACCCTTTCTACATTTTAAGCTATAAGCTTTCCATTTTTTATATGCTTCTTTTCCTCATTTTTACACAATTTGGAAACTTTTCTGCATTTATTATTAAAAATTTTTGACTTCTGTTTACCATGCTGCTTTACAAAAGTTTTTTTTAAATATGCTTATTTTTTTTGTTCAAAATATATTTATTTAGCATATTGCTTTCGATGTATTTTTGGCTTCTTATTAGAAAATTCTTTTTATTACGTTTTCTTTTACAATTATTTATTTTAGGGTCATGCCAGAGCAGACTTTACTTAAATGAATTAAATGAAAAACATTTAAAAAATTAGCTTTGTTGCACTTTGAGACCATTTTAGTTTTAATTAAAAATTTCTCTAAGATTTTATTTTGAATTGATTCAAGAATTCACAATCATCTAGGTATAATTCAGAAATGAAGCTTTGTTGAAAATTCTTCAGTTGCTCCTTGAAAAAGGCAAAGGAATTTTCAACAACTTTATATATTTTAAATCAATTTTATTTATAATTTACTGAATTTTTTCCCAGTTTTGAACTGTGTATTTCCTTTTAGAATGTTAGTCCCTTTCATGATCTAATTCTTATTTAATTAATTTTGTAGCATACTGCACAACTTTCATAATATATTACCTTAATATGAAACTTCTCAACTTTTGTTTATATATTGTTACTTTCCTATTATAGTTATACACACCCATAAAAATGTGCTATAAACAACCTCTTTAAAAAGGCATATTTTCCAATTAGCCAAAAAATTTCTTACCTTCACTCTGAATTTCTTGAAGAGTTCAACAAAGACGAATTCATATGCATATTGTGCTGGACAAAAAAAGTGTACTATATAATTGGGCCCTCTTCTAATCCAAGGTTGTACTAATGAAATAATAGCATCCAAGCATTCTTCTCTTGTGGGAATATATTGGCTATTTTTGTTGCAAAATGTTGTATCAATGTATAAGCTGTCCAATCTTTTTAAGCTAAATCAATAAAACATTGAAATACACATTCGTAAGAGTACGATTTTGAATATATAATAGTAGATTGATGCAGAAATAATACTTAATCACTTATCTACATTAGGCATTCTTGTTAAAAAAATATATTTGATAAAAAAAATCTACTTTAATTGAAATACCAAAATTCCCATATTGTTGAATTATTAATACCATAATTAATAAAAAATTTCACATTGATGTTTACTTAATTTTGAATTATATATTTTAGTCTTCAAAATGCATTTATTTCTGTTTAACACATTATAGAAATTTTACATCTTCCCATTGTCTTTTTATTATAAATTAAGTCTCATTATTGCTATTTTGAAGACAGTTGTGTTGTCAGCAGATTCACTATCTTAGTACTGTAGAAGCAATTCAGATAAAATAAATGTAAGACTTAAGGTAATTAGAAACCCTTTATAACATTAACTCCTAAAAAAGACTCAAGTATTAACACTGCCATTACCATTAATGACAGATTAAATTCAATCGTTGTTTGAATCGGGTTTCAATAATAAATGTTTTATAAACTTTTTTTTTGGGAGGGGGTGATTACTTTTTTTTTTTTTTTTTTTTTCTCATGGCACACTGGTAATAAACTAAGATATATATATATATAATTACAAAACAATTTTTAAAAAACATAATATAAACATGCCTAGTATTTTTGCATGTTAAGCTCCTGAAAAATTATGAGTAAAGACATACAGAAATTTCTTACTTTATATATAAAGTAAGAAATTTAGAGCTAATTTTTCATAAAGACCAAAAATTTAAATTAAAATCCTATAAATGCATCAGAGAATTTTAAAAATGTTAAAACTATTTAAAAAAAATTAATGAAATTTAAAGGAAAATGAACATATCAGAAGAGGAATTCAAACAACTTTGTCGGGGGCAAGGAACATTGAAATCACTAGAAATCTCTCTTCTACAAAATTCCTTGCTTTTCTGTATCCAGAATTAGCCAATGAATTCTTTGTCGCATTTATTATCTGAAATTTATAAATTATGAATTTAAATTTTTGGTTTTTGTGAAAAATTAGTTCTAAATTTCTTACTTTATGTCTTTACTGATAATTTTTCAGCAGCTTAATGCACAAAAATTCTAGGCATGTTTATATTTTGTTTTTAAAAAATTGTTTTGTAAATATATCTATATATATAATCCCCAAAGCATTACTATTCTAACTATAATAGGAGTTGTTTTCTCCACTGAAGACTGAGATTAGAATCTGCCCAATCTGGATTAAAAAATATCTTTTTTTTTTTTTTTTTTTTTTTGAAGATATTTTGCAGCTAAACGAAAGAAAGAAATCTATTTAATGAAATTTTAAAATAAATTCCGGAATTTTATATTTATTTAGCACATATATAAGCAAAAGGTATGTGCATTAAATTTCATGATAGTATGTCATCAAACTGCTACAATTAGTTTCATTCAGGATTATGTCAGAGAAAATTGCCTGAAATTTGAAAGCATTATTAAATAACAACTAAATTTAGAGGGAAGAAGCAACATTAAATGATATGATTAACATTAAAATAAAGTTAATTACTTAAAAATTAAATTACAATTATCAATGAAATTTTTGCAAATATAGTTATATGAAATGGTTAGCTTTGATGGTTGTTTATTTTTTTATTTTACTTTAAAATAATAAATAAGGCATTTATAAAACAGGGAAAAAAAAAAGGTTATAAAGATTTTGTGTTAAAATCCTAGTATATGGTACGACCATGGCACAATTTTGAAAATTGTCATCAACCATCATTATGTCACCAAATCCCGCGTGTATCGCATATGAAGGTTAGAATAGAATAGTACATAGAGGTTATTCTAACCTCCATAGCATCCTATACTAGGATAAAACATATTTTGTTTTACACAAGAGTGGGAAGATATTTTCTTCAGTTCAACATGCACTGCACATATGCATGCAAGTCTCTAGATTCTCGAGGTTACTGGAAACCAAAGTTGCTGGAAACTTGCTTTGCCTTTCTAAAAGATAATCTGATAGGAGCTTCAAAAATTGGCCCTATGCCAGCTGCCTGAATGACTAAAAAATAAAAAAATGTAAAAGAAAAAGATCGTTCCAGCGTCGGCGCAAAACTCGCTTTTTAGGGGGGGGGGATCGCTGTATGAAATTCCTTGACTTTTCCAGATTTTGACTAAAATATTTAAGTTCCCTGACTATTTTGGTCAATTTTTGAATTCCCTGACATTTTCCAGGTAGCGTGGCAACCCTGAAACAATACCTTTATTCTACTAAATTTTAGAAAATTAAATATGAAATTAGTTTCTAGATATAAAAAATTAACAGAAAATACTACTGAAGAGTTAAAAGATGTAATAGATTAGGATGAAATAATAAGACACAAAAATTTCAGTGAAAACTTTCTTAAGTGTGAAAATACAATCGACTTGTGTAATCTTAATTTATATAAAACAGTGTCATAAGATTTCATTAAAAGAGATGATGAGAGAATTTCTATTATATTATTATCTCACATATGTATTCATCTTTAAAAAAATTTTTACTAATAAACGAAACTAATAGACACAGTCAATAATCTATTCACAATATATAATATTGAATATTTTAGAAAGTTCTGAATCTGTAGATAATAAATATTGTACTGTAAAATATAAAATTAAGAATTTTAACAAAAATGATTTCTCATTATTTAGAAATGAATTAAAAAATTTTAATGGTTATGATGGACAGGTATATAATTTTGTAGAAGATAATCACATTGTGTCTTTGTTTATAATAAATCATGATATTTTTAAATTCTCATTTTACAGATAGACTGAATAAAAAGTCTTTAAAAATTATTTACTAATAAATGGAAGAATTCAGTAGTCTTGGAATCCTAAAACTCTAAAATTAGAAGAAGATTTAAAGCCTCAGAGATACGAGGTGTGACACACGCACACACCAGAAAAAAAAAAAAAAAAAAAAAAAAAAAAAAAAAAAAAAGACTGTGTAGCTTGAAAACAGAACAGGAGTTGGTAACAACTGCTTTGGTGATGTCATGCCACACACCTCCTCTATCCCTGCGGCCAGTTGACTTAACCGACCATGCCAGTGGGGAGTACTGCGTCATTGAGTGAACATGTGTAGCTGCATTTTGCCGGAAAAATGTCTAATGTAAAAAACCAATCAGCAAATCAACATCAAGTGTCTTGTGAAACTTATGAAATCAGCCATGGAGGAAACATTTCAAATGTTAACTGAGGCTTATGGAGATGAAACTTTGTCTCATGCACATGTATTTGAATGGCATTAGTGGTTTTCAGGGAAAAAGACAGTGTGGAAGATAGGGTTGCCCAGCACGTTATTCATGATTGAATGTGTTCCCAGTGGTCAGATTGTTAATTACCACTACTAAATTGAAGTACTAAGAAAACTTCATGAAAAAATTGGGGGGAAAAAAAAAAAAAAAGAGAGGCCACAGTTGTGGAGTGATAGATGGCACCAGGACAGTGCACCCACTCACACACCCCTATCTGTCATGCAGTTTCTGACCAGAAAAATCACTATTGTGATGGGACATCCTCCTAATTTACCTGATTTGGCTCCATTTGACTTTTTTAAATTTTCTAAAGTTAAATTTTGCTTAAAGAAAAGCCATTTTAACTTAGCTGAAGAGGTTCAGGCAAAAACACAGAATCTCCTGTAGGGCCTTCCAAAAACCTCATTCCAGAACTGTTACCAGCAATGGTAGCACCAAATGTAGAAGTGTGTGAATGCCGAAGGAAACTACTTTGAAAGTGATAATGTCACGAAGAACTGATTCTGTAAGTACAATGATTTATTAGAACAGACTTTTTTCTTTTTTTGTGTATGTGTTATACCTTGTATAATTTGATCTTACTGAGAAATATTCAAACAAAATTTTGTGATATATGTACTAAATAGAAATAGATGATGAAGAACAAGCATATTTTCTTAAAAAGCATTCTAGAAAACTTTCCAATAATGCAATCAAGAAAATTAAGAAAGGAAATTACATATTCAATCATAACAATATTCTTGTGTGTGTATGAGTTCGTACTGAATTGAATGCACAAGTCCAATGAAAAGTGAATAAAAGTTATTATTATCACAATAAATAAAACAAAATGCTTAAATTTGATCAGATATTCGTACAATATCCGAATATCTCACAGTTGTTATCTTTTAAACTACCAAAAACGTTCAACAGAATTCAAAACAGAGAAACGTAGAGAAAGCTAATTCAATCTAACAACAACAGTTTTCTAAAACAACTAAGCTGAGATGTTTTATCTTTGGCTTTTATAGCTTTCTAAATCAGCCACACGAGAGAATTCTAGCAATTTCTTGAAAGCAAAAAGTGTAGAATTATGATTACAGTTAAATATACTAGTCACTTACATTTATTCAAATTAAATATAAATTAAAAGAGATATTTATTTATTAAATGTTAAATGCGTATGCTTTTGTACTTTTAATTTTCCGGCTTAGCTTTCTCTTAATATTCATCATGCACTGCACTGGAGAATAAAATAATTAATAATTCTACTAAGATTAGCGATTTAAATACCAAATCCAAAACAATATGATAGATGGAGAATATTTGCACAATTTGGAAAAACTTTAGAATATCTTTCATCTCATTCCAAAAACTTAAGATTTTTATTATTACCATAATTTCTGGAAGAAACGGCACGGCATTTACGTGTTTAAAACTTAAATTTTCAGCGGGTGCTGCCTTTCTACCCATGCGGCGTTTAGGTGTACTAAATATAAAATATTTCCTATGATGGTCATTGTACATAGTTTGGATGGCCTTGTCATTGTGCATAGACTGGTGCTGTTCCCACACAAAAGACCACTCAGTTGATTTTTGCGAACGTTATTTTGTTTACATTCTTTCCCTTGAACGGATCTACATGCCTTATTCACCCTAAATAAGATCTCAGAAAAATAACATTCTTCCCCCTTTCAAATCAACCATCTCATCAGTTTGAATAGTCTCTCTCCTCTGCCATTCGATGAATCTTCCAGTACCCATCCTCTCCCCACCCCTGCCTTTTCTGCAATTTTTTTCAAAGGTGGATACCTCGCAATAATGAACTCTGACATATTTCCCCTTCAGCATGAATCAATTTTTCTTGGCATTCTGCCAGATACAGATCCCATCAGTTTGGGTACAAGTACTTGTTGGATAGTTTTTAAGTAAGAAGAGAGTGGAAAAATTTTTGAAAATGTCACCTAAACGGCACAGAAGCTATACTGCTGGTTTTAAGCTTAATGTAATTTCACGTGCTGAGCAAATTGGAAATCGAGCAACAGCTCGAGAGTTTGAAGTTGACGAGAGTTGTATTCGACGTTGGAAGACTGAAAAAGAACTTTAAAAAATATGCCACAACAGAAACGAGCGTAAAAGAAGTGATACTGTAAGGTGGCCGAATCTAGAGGACGACCTTGAAAACTGGAAAAAGGAGCAACGAGAAAGGGAATGTAATTTCGAAGCTGTAAAAATTCGCTTACCAAGCAAAATTTATAGCAAAACGAATGAATATAATGATTTCAAAGGAGGTGTAGCAGATTTATGAAAAGAAAAAATATTTCTGTGCCTACTAGAACAACAGTCGGGCAACAATTACCAATGGACTGGCAGGATAAAAAGGCATCTTTTCTAAAAATATGTGACAGATATTATTGACAAAAAAAACTTCTTCGGTCACAGATGGATGAAACGCCGTTAGCTTTCGACTCTCCTGCAAACAGAAGTGTTGATGAAACTGGTGCAAAAACCGTATCTGTGCTTACGACGGGGCATGAAATAACGTCATTTACATGTGTGTTAGAATGTGCCACAAACGGTGACAAGCTAAAGCCGATGATCATTTTTAAACAAAAGACTATTCCGAAGAGAGATTTTCCTAATGACGTAATTATTTGTGCAAACGAGAACGGCTGAATGTTCGAAACAATCATGCATGAGCGGCTACAAAAAGTTTGGCAGTGTCGTATGGGATCTTTTTTCCAACCAAAAGGGTTATTGATAATGGATTCCATGGGTGCTCATTTACTTGAGTCAGTGAAAAAGTGAAAACCAGATGTCAAAAATTGTCTACGACCGAAGCAATAATTCCTGATGGTTTGACAAAAATCTTACAACAGTTAGATTTATCAGGTAATAAATCCTTCAAAGCTGAAGTCCGAAAGCGGTGGGAGTGTTGGATGAGTGAAGGATTGCATACGTATACCAAAAGCGATAAAATGTGTAGAGCATCTTATGAAGAAGTTGCAAAGTGGGTAGGAAGTGCGTGGAAATCGGTAAAAACATTGTCAATAATAGCAAGGTTCAAAGAAGCTGAAATTATATATCCTTAGATAAGAGACTGTAAACCAAGAGGATGAATGTGATGATCTGGAAGACTTAGATCGGATTTACTAAATCTTTTAATTCGGATAGTGAAGAATCAGATTTGATGGCTTCATATGATGTATAGTTTGCGTAATTCTTTTGTAGTAAAATTAAAATTCCTTTGTCATCCAAATTTAATATTTCGTTGTTGCAACATTTTTTATAATATAGTCTGAGTATTACAAATATGGACTTCTTTAGTGGGTAAATATAAGTATATACGTGAAGGTAAATATATTTTCCACATTTCTTACCTTTAATTTATTTTTGAGTTATGGTTTCATTTCATGCATTTTTCTTAACTGGTATGTCATATATCAGGACTTAGCTTGAGATTTTGCATCTATACGCCCCACGACGATGTCATGCACAATTTAATCTATTGCGGCGTTTACGCTGATGCAGCCTTTCTTCCGGAAATTACGGTAATTTAAGCCCCTCCTAGCAGGGGTCATGAGAGAGCTCTTAAAAAATATATTAGATTTATTAATTTTTAGTGTTAGTTTCTATTTTGGGGGTTTTAAAATTACATTGTTTTTTTATAAATATTTAAAATTTTTTTTATTACTTTTATATACAAATGAACTAAAATTTAGTGTCGAAATTTATTGAATTATGAGTGTATCTTAAAATGTTGTAAAAATGTGTGAAATGTTTATAATGAGCAGTGTATGTCCTATACTATAGGAAACATGATAAAATTTGACACAATTTTCCAATTAAAATCAACAATATGATGGATTAGTCGTGTGTCATTATAGAACGTATGCTGCTGCAGTCTAAGTACTATACTTTAAGGTAAGATTGCATGTTTCCTTTTCTTTTAAATATAAAGCATAAGGGATAAATTATGTCAATATATTTTTGAAATAACAGATCATACATATAAGATGAGCATGGTATTCAGAAGGACATTTCAAGAAACGAACAATGTTCAATACACAATAACACTGTCATATAAAAATTATAATATACTGATTAACTTTACTTTTCTAAAAAGTTAGTTAAAAAGTTAGTAACACAAATTTCAATACTACATTGTTTTAACAGATATAAAAGAAAATAAAAAGTTATTTTCTATAAGAAAAAATTAAACACCAAATGCAGATATTTTAGGTTTTGCACTTTTTCATAAAAATTAAATGCTTTTTGACTTGCAGATATGTGACAGAAAATAAAATATTTTAAATACTTTACCTGCCATCGGCTTCATGCATATTTAATAACCTAGCAGATCCACCAATGGGGAGTCTAAAATCACCAGTATACAATATTCTTCCATTATTACCTTCAATTAAAATCCTAGAGCATACCAAACATAATAAATAAAGTTCTAGCACATTTTTGAAGCTAAAATACAGTTTAAATATGGTTAAAACCACCAGAAATTATATATTAAAAAGCCACTAGAAATTATATATTAAAAAAAACCCTGTTTAAATATCAGAAGACAAATTGCTGGCAGTGTTATTATCTGGTGCTAGCTAATACAGAAGTACCTATAAACATTCTTGCTCTACTTATAAAATGATTATATACCATGTTCACAAAAGTCTTTACCTGACCTTTATGTGATACTCGTAAAACTTCCTTGTTGACATATTCCAAATACAAAAAATGTTTTAAATAATGCAGATATTTGTGTTTCAGCACTTTTAAATATAAAAAAATAAATTTTGTAAAGACAACAAATTTTTTTATATGTTTCTCAGGTCCGTACATTTATATTTAAGTAAATTTATACTTGTTATTAAAAATAAAATGCAAAAAATGCATTTTCCATACAACAAAAATCGACAAAGATATATAGTTTTAAAACTAGAAATAACAAGCAGGAGTGTATGTCCCCTGATTGATTTTTGTTTTTAAAACAACTGAAACTGTTTAATAATTAAAACTAGTTTTAAAACAAACTGTAAACTGACAATTAAAAATACACAAACTAATAAATAAAAATAAAATATCAGTTCTGAAAAGTTTTCTCATGTTAATAAATTAAGTGATAGTGTGAATTATTGTGAAAAGTATTGATGAATATGCTCTTTTTCAAAAAGATCTTACCCAAGAATCTTGTATCACAGAATCACAAAAACCGTGTTTTAGAAAACATTTCAGTCAGGCGGACTTAAGTTTTGCAACATATTCAACTTATAACATTTTCACAAATTAAAAATATTTTTAGTGTAATGAATTTTTCTATCATTACTTTATGATTCTAAAATTAATAAATCAACATGAGAATATTAATAATGCATTTTTAGCATCTGAAAATTTATAAATAACTTGTGTGAAAATTCTTTTGGCATACCCTGTAACAAAGTTATAAAGATACTAGTAAATCTCCAAAGAATGTTACTAAATGGTGTTTAAGAAGCAAAAAATCAACCTCAAATTATTCTAATTTATTTATTAATCAAACCCTCAATGCAAATGAAATATCTCAGTCAATTTTTATTGAATAAGAGTCAAATGTTTTGTGTTTTCCTTTTTATTATGAGCATAATGTTTTCCTAAATAGAAATATAGGGATCAGGGAGCAAATGTAAGATTTTATAATTTTTGCAAAAGTATTTTTTTTAAAAGCCTCAACATGAATATTTGCACCATTCAAAACCTTTTTGTAATTCGAAGTATATATCTGCAACTAATAGCTGTTAAAATAAAGACAGTGTATAGACTTTTATAGACATGTTGTATTACAAAATGTTTATTTATAGGCTATAATAAGTTCATATCATTTTTAAAATCTCTCACAATTCTTTCAATCTTAAATATTTACATAACATTTAAAATCTTTCAGATCTAAATGTTAATAATTTATACATTATGCTGTAACGTATGTTCATAAATTCGTTCCAAAATAATGATTAAATTAAAAGATAGAGGAAAATCCTTACGAAATCTAGATTTGTAAGAAGCCTACTCAATTAAAATCTTAAAATACAGAAACTGGAAGCATAAGAAATGCTAATAACTTGATTGCATATATTGAACGAAAATTATACTGATTACATTTTGATTTTTTAGAGTTGGGGGCTGGAGGGTAAGAGGTTGAAAAATTAATTTTGATCTTTTCTGACAATTCACACCATATGTATACACATGTGGAGAAATTTTCTCCCCCTTTTACCACAAGGCTTCAAGATATAACTGGAAAACAACTGAAATGTCTGAGTTCAAGTTCCAGTGAAGGGTTATGCATATTTCTTACATCTCATGCTTCAAAATAAAATGACTATACATGTTTGTACAAAAGGTGCCTGAACTAAATCCTGATGAACAATAATTTGTGACCACCAGGACTTAGTGACTGGGTCCCTCCTTCCTAGCCATCTTTTAAGTGAGGGAGAATGTAAGGTTTTTCCCCCCCCTCTTTACCACATCCCTTAGTGGTGCAAAACTGGAAAGCATGTCCGGGTAAAAGTCAGAATGTCCGGAGTTCTAGTCTCAACAAAGGCAGTGCACACTTTTCATGTGTTTTGCTCCAAAATAAATGAAATTGAAAAGTAATGAATGATAATTTGTCACGATGAGGAAACAGTCATTGGGCCCCTCTTTCCCAGTCACCTTTTAAATGGAAGAGAATGTAAAGTTTTTCTCCCTCATTACTGCATGACTTCATGGTGTAAATGGAAAGCATGTCCAGCTAGCAAATTAAAGGTCCAGAGTTCAAGTACCAAAGATGGCACTGCACATTTTTCACATCTCTTGCTTCAAAATAAAATGCCTAATGATCTTTATAAAGACAGTATGATTTTTCAAACAGGTAAAAACAAGATCAATATCAATGACAAAGCCATAAAAAAAATTTTTTTTTTTCTGTAAGTATTTTGTAATATTTCTGATTTTAAGCTATTGAAAAATAAAACTTACATCACAGATCCAGGACAATGACCTGCAGTTAGCATAGTGACAACAACATTTGATTGCTATTAAAAGATACAGAAAATAATTTTTAAGAAAACATTTGTATATAACAAGCATATGAATACAGATTTTTGTGTGGAGAAATATCTCCCCCACCCAAAATCGATACAGTTACCATATATTTCCAAGTAAAAGTGAAATTTTTTAAAAACTTTTCCTAAAGCCTATGGGGGCCGGCTCATATATAGATCTGTTAATCTTACAAAAAACATGTGGTATGTTTCCATTAGCAGGGAGCAAGTGATCACTGCCAAATATTACACATTTTTTTATTACTTTAAATTATATTTCTTAAGTTTATATATATATATATTTTAAAGGAAATGAGATATTCGTTTTATGAAAATGAATTGTTTTATTTTTGGAATTGTTTATAATGCTGGTTTGGTGCATCGTAGCAAACATGAAAAATCTGAAATTGGTGAAATTTGCACCCTGCTTTCTCCATTCTCAAACTTGTTTTTCATTTGCAGAGAAATGCAGGGCAGCCATACTATTGTTAGAATTTTCATCAAACGCAATTACCTACAGAATGAAATTTCACATATGAGATTTTCTCTTCCCACTGATCTTTCAGACAAAAAAATAAAACTGCACAGAAAATAAGACCAGCACAGTTACCACGTATCATATACAAGACAAGAAATATGTTAACTACAGACAGGATTACCAGAGTTAAAACTATTGTCTTTGAACATCTGATGTTTGACTTTACATCAATCTAATTGAAAAATAATCCACTCGTTTTACCTGTTTGGGTACATTTTTGCCCCCATGGCACCATGTTTGAATGTAATAGAATTTTTCTTTTTCAGTTTGGCTTGCATACAAGTTTTGAGTTTCGAATATATTTTTAAGGAAAAATAATGCACTTTCGCCTTAAGTTTGGAAATATACAGTAAATAGATGTTTTAAAAAATTCAAAAGCAAAAATTATATATACATATAAGAATGTCATTATGAAAACTGCATTTTTCAAATCTATACTTAACTATTTTGCCATCTGTATCAGGAAGATTAATAATAGCTGGTTGCTCAAGACGTAGGTTCACCTAAAATTAAATTAAATATACTGCTGAAGGAAGAATGTCTGATAAAAATTTTAACATTTAAAATTAGTTTTTTAATTATGTCAATATAATAAGAAGGCATTTATACAAAACTTAGCAAATAAGCTTCCAATTTAAATATTGTACGGTGGAATTACCAAATTGTCATAACTTTGAGAACAAGCATATTCAAATGTTTTTTCCAAGTGATGTAAACGTAAAGCATACTTCTATGAATTAAAATAGATAGAAAATATTATAGATATTAGTACTATTCTTTTACCAATTCTGTTATTTTAGTTGTAACCAAATGTTTTGCTTAACTCACCAATTGGTTTACATAAAGTCGCCAATCTTTCCTTTCAAAATTGTTACACTTTACTTTTTTTAAAAAGTAAAAGAATGCCTTTTCAAAATTGGCAATGAGAATATAAATTTTAAAGATGCAACAGTCACTTGTGTTTTATTATTACTGTATTTACCATGGATATGAAAATTTGGGACTTAACCTAATGATGAAATATTTTCTATACACTTTCTTCAGGAATGAGGAATTAGTCACTCTGAAAGAAAGGTGCATGAAACACCATAAAATGAAGCTCAAAATCAAAGTGTGAAGATATGATGTGTCGAAGAAAAAAAGAATTACATTCACAAAACTAGTTTGAAGGACTGGAAATCAGTTTCTTAATGACAATTCATTTAATTTATGTTTAGTGCTTAGAATTAACTTCCATTGAATTTTGTCAGCATCAACTTAATATGAATCATTGTACTGTTGTTAACTGAGAAGTTATATAAAGGAAGTCTGCAGTGATGCATATGTCAAATTTTTTCTCAGATCTTCAGCTTTTGGCAAGATCTGAATCCAATCATGATAACAGAACAGTACCCAAATATTTGTCACTAGATGCTACTTTTTCCTAATAAATTTTGTCTTTGCCAAATCTGTGCATGGTGTAACTTACTAATTTATTAATGTTACTTATTTTTGATTAAGCTGTATAGTGGATGGAAAGTAGACACAAATGTTTGTTATTGCATTTATTGGCCATAAGAAGAACAAGTTCGTACAACAGATAATAGTTCAGCGCTCGCAGGGGCCCTCTTGCAGAGAACAAAATAAAAATTTACATAAGGCGCGAACATGCCGCCCACCTTGAAATACTATTTCAACATTCAGTGGTTAAAAATTCAGCAAATTCAAAAAACACAATCCAATATTACAATCATGATATAATACTTAATTTATAATACATATGAATTAAAAAACTCAAATTGGTAATGGACACAATTTTGTAATATTTCCTTTGACCATCATGGTAATATCTAACAACAATAAGATGAGTTAAAATGTGCTTCTTTGGCAGCTAAATGGGATGCCTAAAGCCATATGCAAGGTTTGCATGTTGCAGGCGACCGCCCAACCTGAGAATACCTGAATTATCTAAAAATGGATTTAAAGATAAAATTTTGCTTGTACAAGATAATGATTGATTTCTGCTTAAAGTGTTAATTTCATTTTTAAATTCAACATATTGCATTAATTTAATTAACACATGCATAACTTTAGTTAATTAACTAGTTTTTAAAAATCCATTTACCTGATCTTCTGAATTTCTACAGTTATTTATAAACCTCAGACATAATGCCATAACACGTTTAAATTTGGTGAGAGAAGAATATTTATAAAATAAATCATGAGCGTCTGTCACATGACTGGCAGCAGTTGTTGACTGTAAAGCACATCTTTGCTCAGGCACAGAATCATTCAGTAGTGGTGCAGATAATGCTGGCTAAAAAGGAAATAAATCGTACAATAAATCTGGACCAAGTAGCCACAATGAAGCAACCAGTGCTGATGATGACACACCACGAGTTGCAAGATCAGCAGGATTAGTATTTCCACTCACATGATGCCACTGGATAGGAGAAGATAAAGTCTGGATTTTTGCTACTCTGTTGGCAACAAAGGTCTTCCATTGGCTTGCATGAGATCCTATCCGGGCTAATACAGTAGTGGAATCAGTATGAAAATAAGCTTGTGATATAAGAGTATTCAAAGATTTAGAGGTGAAGTCCATCAATTTAGACAACATGAATGCTCCACAAAGTTCCAATTGGGGAAATCATATGGTTTTTAGTGGTGCAACTCTTGTCTTGGCTATCACCAATTGAACATCGATATCCAGTATCTAACACAAAACGATAATACATTGCAGCGGCATATGCCTTCTCTGAGGCATCACAAAACCCATGCAGTTGAAACTGGTTATCTGATTCAACCAACAAGAATCATGAAATTTTTATACTTTTAATAAATAACATATCTTCTGTAAGTTGTTTCCATTCACATGCAATGTCTGGAGGAACCCTTTCATCCCACTGCAACTGATGTTTCCACAATCTTTGCATGATCAATTTATACCGAACCGTGATCGGTGCCAACCATCCAAGGGTCAAAGGTCTTTGCGATTATTGAAAGTAGTGTTTGTTTGGTTAAAACCTAAGGCTATGATGAATTGACTTTAAATAAAAACATATCTGAAGCTGGATCCCACAGGATACCTAACGTATTTACAGTATCATCACTGTCTATGTTTAAAGAAACATTTGATAAGCACACATCTGGATTAATTGAATTCAAGACTTCTTTGCAATTAGAAGCCCATTTTCTTAAAACAAATCCTGCACATGATAACATCTGATTCAATTGCATTTGTAATTCTATAGCTTCAGTAACTGAACTGACTCCGGACATCAAATCATCAATGTAGAAGTCCCTAAGGCATGTCTTGGAAGCCAAAGCAAAATTAGCTACTTCTTCTATTGCTAACTACTGTAAACATTTTACCACAAGGTACAGTGCTGATGCAATACCATAAGCAATTCTAGTTAATCAAAAATCCTGAATTGGTTTATAAGGTAAATTGTGCCAGACTATTCTTTGAAAGTCTGCATCTTGCAGTATAATTTGTCTGTACATTTTCTCTATGTCTGCAGTTATAGCTATTCTGTGAATTCTGAAACGAATAATTAATGTTGTCAGATCAGTCTGTAACTGTGGACCAACCATCAATTTCTCATTAAGAGCAATACCGCTAGAATATTTTGCAGAACCATCAAATACCATTTGAAATTTATCACCATTTATATCCGGAACTGAATGGTGCGGAAGGTAAAAACTAGAATTAGCTGGAACATCAATTTCATCATTTTCTGGAATCAATTCCATATGACCAAGTTGTTGATGGTCCTCCATAAATTTGTGATACCGACTGGAAAGAGTTATTCCTAATAAATTGACGTTCGGTGTTTTGTAAACGATGTACAGCGACATCCCTAGATAACCCAAGTTGACTGCCAGATCTACGAAATGGAAACTTAACAACAAATCTACCTGCTGAGTCACAAGAAAAATTCCGCTTGAAATTATTTTCACACTCAATTTCTTCCTCTGTGTAAGGCTTTATCTCTGAAGTTTCTTCTAATTTCCAAAAATTTTCAAGCTGGAACTGAACATTGGTACAACTAACATGATTAGATATAATTGTTTGTGATACACATTTAGTCTTGCCGATAATGACCCAACCGAATATTGATTCCAAGGCTGTTAACGAATGACCCAGAACAGTTAAACGTCCATGAAGCATTATCTCGCCAAATACATCTGCGCCTAAAAGAATATCTATTTGGCCAGGCTGGAAGCAATTTGTATCTGCCAATTACAAGTGTTTAAAAGCTGTCAAAACAGACCTATCAACTTGATATTGAGGAAGGTTACACATGATCTTCGGTATAATTAATTAATGCAAATGCTTGCGTTTTTATAAAATGGAGATGTTACTTGTAATTGAATTGAACCTGAAACCTTTCCAATTTTTTGCGAGCTCAGGCCATTGCCACTTATGTTTGCACTAGTACGCTTTAGCTGCAATAAATTTACACAGTGCTCCCGAATAAATGAGCCCTGGCTACCTGAATCAATTAGCATCCTGCATTTTTGTAAATCGGCATTAATACCTTTAACATAATCAACCGCAGTAGGCAATAAAACTGCCAGCGTGACAGGCACCATGGCATTATTGCTACTAACAGCAGAAGTTCCGTGGGTGTACATATGCCTGCACGACATTTAAAAATGGGATGCATTTTACTATCTTTCAAACAATTAGCACATAATTTATTCCTTTTAATAATATCCAATTTTTCTTTGATAGGGAGTTCTAAAAAGCTATCGCATTTAAATAACTGAGAATGAGAATTACTCTTACAATGAACGCACACATTAGCCACAAGTTGGAACAAAAAAGCGTATCTACCACCTGAACTGCGAGTTTTAGTTTCAGAAGGCAAACCCACCTTCTCCCTCTGGCACTTCACGAATTTGTGCAAGTTTTTGACTTGTTATTTTGGATTGCGTAGCAGCGATTCAAAGCCAAAATAACACGACAAAGAATTGCACAAACTAGGCTTCGTGCACTCAATCGAGTTTGTCCACGTACACATTGATATATTTTCGGCTGATCTTTGGAATATGGTAACTGGTAGTTTGGCGACATTTTGGAGGCGATAAAGGTTACTACCTAGGACTTTGGTAATAATGTGAGAAGCACTCAGTTCCGATTACGCATTATTTGGTGAGGGAGGAAATGAGAGATCATGAGATATGTCATGTGACATTAATGGACGAATTACAGTTGTTTAATCGGAAAAGGGGGGAAATCTGGAAGTTTCGTATTTAGCTATATTCTGTGTTGTGTGAAACATGACATTAATGGACGAATTACAGTTCTTTAATCAGAAAAGGGGGTTAATTTGGAAAAGCTTCATTGTGTGTTAGGTGAAATAATGTTGATTAATTTTCGGATTGCATGGCGCTATGTAAAGTGAATTCTAAATTTTTAATGCGTTTATCTGATAATAATAATAAGTTGAGATTGTGTGAAAGGAAGGATATTAGAAGTTTAAATGGCTGTGCAAGAAATATGGTGAAAATGGACATTTTGTGAAAAGGAGTGTAAGGAAGGGTACGTGGTTTGCTGAAAGTAGTTTGAGTATACGTGAAATTTTATTAATTTCTTATTACTTGGTGAATAGACTTCCAGTTGACCGCTGAATTTAGGATTTAGGGTACAACTCTAATATACGCCCTAATTTCACCAAATGTGGCGATATGTGTTCTGCGCTGGTTTTTGGCACGATTGCGTGTTCTATGGCACCCCTGTTGATGTTGAAAAATCTTTCGCTGGAGCTCGTTGGTTCGCCTCTGTGTCTGAGAAGATGGGAGGGAAAGATAAAATGGTAGTTGTTGAATTGAAGTTCGGCAAAAGGAAATATGATTGTGGCTATCCTGTTGAGGGGTAGTGGGTATTTGGAAGTGTGGAAGAGGGTCTGGGAGATTATTTTTGATGGCAGTGCATGATAGAAGTAGGGATTTGTGATTTTATTTATTTGTGAACCATAGTATAAATTTTCTAGATAGCGTGTCTGGCTGTCATGTAAATACGATAGTGATTACGTGGCGGCATGTTAAAGGCGGTACGAAATTTATATTTCTACTATTCGAAAACACATTAATTCATGGTAAGTGCATTTTATTTTATCCTTGTTCTTATTTTGTAGAATGTTATGTTCATTGGTTCTTTGGTATGAATTTCTGTCGTTATTGTTGTTTTTTTAAATTGTTTGAAATTTATTTTAGTTTATTTTGTTGTTTAGTGTCTAGACTGTACAATTCGTAGATGTTTTTTAAAGTTGAAACAGAACGCTGTGTACATGGTATTATTTGAAATTTATTGTTATGTTATTAAAGCGAGGAGTGCGTAAATCGTAGATTCCTTCCTTGCCTAAATTGTGCAATTTGTAGAATTTTTTTAAAGTTTAAACAGGATGCTGTGTACATGGTATTCTTTGAAATTTACTGTTGTTATGTTAATTTATTAAAGCGAGGTGTGCGTAGATTTATTTTTTGTAGATTCGTTCGTTGCCTACATTGTGCAATTCGTAGATGTTTTTTTAAGTTAAAACATGTCGCTGTGTACATGGATTCTTGTCAAATATTTTTGGTTAGAAACTTTACGTTTTTGCTATCTAAATTTTTTGTTTTTGTATCGGATTTTTAGCTAAACTGTGTGTTTAAAACGTAGTTTTTGCATGTGCGAAAACCACGTTTTTGGAGACATTTTAGGCTAAAAGTTCAAAATGTAGACAAAAAATTTAGATAGTAATATGGCAGCGTGAAGATTCTCGCCAAAAATATTTGGCGAGAAATTTGGCGACTTGAGGGCGCATATCAGAGTAGTTCTGGATTTAGAAATTAGCAGTAGTACTGCAGCAATGTAATGAAGATTCTGAAGTGTGTGTGTGTGTGTGTATTTAATTACGGCAAAGCACACTAGGGCTATCTGCCTAAGAGGAGGGATGCCTTTCGTGGAGGACTTTCTAAGGGAAACTGGCTCGTATACACGTTACACATGGGGAAAACCACGAAAACACCCATGCAGCCAGCCCGTTCGCGGGATTCGAACCTCGGACCGAACTACCAGTGTTCAGCGACTTTACCGCACGGCCGCTGGTGGGCGAAGATTCTGAAGAAGATTAGGCAAGTTAGTATTTTTAATCATTTGAGGATATTATTTTTATGCATTGTTTTAAATCTAAGGAGTAAATAAATTAAAATGGTATTATTTGAAAATTGTTATTAGCAATGATTTAGTTTAAAGTAATTAGGATTGTAATCTAATTTTTATTAATTTAACGTATGTGCTTATTTATATTTTAAGTAGTGTTTTTTAATTTAATTATATTTTAATTTAATGATCGTGATTTTGTGAGTTATATGTTTGTAGTATTTTGGAATATGCTTGAGTAGTATACGTTGAGTATTTTCATGCATTTTTGTGAAATTTTTCTAATTTATGAGAAAAAAGCAGTGTACATGGATATAGTGAAGAGTGTGCGCAATGCCATTTTTGTGTAATTCTGGGATTTTTTTTAAGTAAAAATAAGTCGACGTGTACATGGTTTATGTGTATGTGTTATTGTGAAAAACGCGCAAGGAGTTTCCGATTGTTCACTTTTCCCAATTTTGCAGTGAATATTTGTCATGATTAAGCAGTTTTGTTAGATAAAATTTCTAGTATAAGTGTAATTTGGCTAGTAGATTGTTGGAAAAAGTGTTCAGTAAATAAAAAGAAAAGAAACATGTCTTTACTTCGCGGGAGAAAAAAAAAAAAAAAAAAAAAAATAGAGGGTTGCTGTAGCAGAGTTGGTCGCCAAAAAATCGCCAAGTTACCATAATCCAAAGATCAACCATATTTTCACTTAAAAAGTCAAAGGAGCACCCAGTTTTACAGTAGAGGCAAACGAAAAATATCTAATCTCAATAAACTACATTTTAAACCAAACAATACAATAAAATAACAAAAAAGGATTATGCATTAACATTATGCATTTAAGCAAATATCCACTTACCTCTGTGGCACACAAAATTCCTTAACAGCATTCAAAAACTTCCTAAAATTATCTGAACTAGAATCTGTATATTGACATCGGCACATAAATTCACAAAAATAAGAGTTGATCCTACGTATTCCGGACTGTCCCGAAAATGGCTACTAAGTAAAACATTATTTACACACCAGTCAATTAATGCACTTTTCCCTTTTGTTCCAAATCGTACAGAAACTTCAAATTAATCTTACTACATTCAGCCATTCTACCGTCTAAACAATGAAACAAGCAATTGTTTGGCGAGAAATTTGTCGCAAAGTGAGGGCGAACATAAGAGTAGTTCCATTGTTTCTTTTGGAATTGATTATAAATTAAAACTGATAAACATTTTATACGAAGAAAAATATAGAATCAAGGATATCACATGGAAAAATTCATATTGAAAACAGTCTGAAAAATTATATTAAAAACAGTCAGAAAAATTGAACACGCGACATGTTAAAAATCCACAAATAAAGTTTGCTAATTCTGGCAAGCTGGCCGTTTTAACAAGTACCAGAGATGCTTATGAAAAAGTTGATGCACATTTTTTGAAAACATGGCTATGAAAATTAATCCACTTTTATGACATGTTTATAAAATATGATTTTATGAAAACTTACTATAAAATTTGATAAATGGAAATACAAAGGATCACTTTTCAGCAAGCACTCTGTAACATCAGATACATAAATTTTGCTAAAACTCCTAAAAGAACACAAAAAGCGCAATATAAAAATTTTGAAAATTTAAAAGCTTGAGATGAAAAACAAAGTGTGAGAAATCGACAGACCTGGCTTTCAAATGCTCATAAAATTCCTTATCTTCCAAACCACTCATGTGATCTATACATAAAGGAAAAAAAATTCTCAATAATAAAATTATAGTACTACAAATAAAAAAGATATAACTATTGCACCTGTTTTTAAAACTTTTAAAATTCATGAAGCTTTTGACCTGTATGACAGTGAGACAAGAAATATACGGTTGAGGCATAGTTATCACATTCCTCATCTTTCAAAAATCTATCAATAGATATTAGAGGATATTCTTTTATTACACCGTCGAATGTGCTCATTTTCTCCTTAAATAGGTAAATAAATTAACAGGCAACAGGTACGAAATGAATACTGCAATAAAACAGGTAATGCATTCACTTCCATTAACAGTGACTCAAAAACAGCGCTGTTAATAAACAAAAAAAAAAAAAAAAAAAAAAAAAAAAACAAGGCCGAGTAGTATTTACAGTTGTAATAAACGGTAAATTTCTCCACAATTTTATTTACTAATCATTTATCTTACTTTACTTTAATTAATATATTAATTAGTTAAGATTTAAAATAAAAAAATAAATATGGCATTGTTGGTTTGAAATTAATTCGAAATAATTAAAGTTTTATATGTTAAATAGTTAATATATTAAATAAATTTACTTTAATTAATATAAAAAATCAAGTAATAAAATTTTAAATTTTAAATTTATGTCTGAAATAATTTATGTATTAATAATTGTATAAGATAAATAATTTTGAAGGAAGTTGAGACATCAAAAAAACATTTCAGACGAAACTTCGAAAATCTGGCAATGGATAAAGACGTCCTGTTGTTAGTGTCAACAAACTCGTGTATTATGTTGTTAACCTTCAATTTTTCTCTCATTAAAATTTAATATTACATTTATAAAATGCTAAACCCAGTTTCTAGATCAGAGAAAAATTTTGTTCGTTTATTAGCGAGGTGCGAAAATTATGTACCTCAGCGCGAGCCTAACGAATGGAGATTGGAACAGGTGCTTTTTTCGCTCAATGTTCTGCTAATTTTGCAGAACTATTCTTTTCCTTTCAATTCTACATTATTGTTAAAAAATCTATGCTTGAGTTCGAATGAGAATTTATTACGAAATTGGAATTAGATTGTTTCCATTGATTCAAAGTGAATAAATGGTAACGCAATAAATAAAATGAAAAAGGTAGCAAATTAATAATGAAGTTTGTTAACCAGAGGTAAAGTAAAAAAGAAAAAATATATATATATATACAAGTAACACTCAACTACTTAATGAAATTTCATTTAATGCTCTTTTTCGTAATATAAAATTATATGATAACTTACATAATATAAATCTGTTAAGTGGTAAAAGTTTACAATTGGATGGCCCTTGTTTATTGGCGATTCTTTCTTGACGCCAAGATCGGCGCCAGGAAGTCACAATTTCAAGATGGCCACTACACAAAACCAAAATAAGAAGTCGAAGAATTGCATAAGATCTGTGTCCTTGTACACATCAATCTGTTTTTACTTAAAAAAACATCCTAGAATTGCACAAACTAGGCATTGCGCACTGCCTTAAATATGTCCATGTACACATCAATCTATTTTCATTTAAATAAAATCGGGAAGCTAAAACAAATTTAAAACTATTGTGATAACCAGAAGTGAGCTTTCATCGCCAAAATTTTTTTAAAAATGTCGCCAATCGAAGGGGCACCCAATTCTACACTAAAGCCTCTGTTAAATATGTTTTCGTCATATAAGGTTATATGACTGAACTTATGCTTATTAGCATAAGAATAAACATAGATGTAAAGAGGTATATAATTTTGTACATATGTTGAAAGAGAAACGTAAAAATAGTATTAGGGCTTTTTAGTTTGGCCAAACAATGATGTAACTAAGAATTACATCTAATTACATTCTTGAGAGATTTCCATTAATTCAGCTTCTCGAGCATGATTAGAATTACGTCTCTTTGTAATGATTTCAGCCTTCTTATGTACTTTATTTGCTTCAAAGTTACCGTCATCGTATAATTGATGAGTGATAATGATGAGTTTATTTCGTGTCTTAACATGATAAAAACTCGTCAGGGAATATTAAGAAGGGAACCAATACTTAAATAAAATTCATTTTAGACAGGGGGACACTATAAAATGTGTCCCTCTTTTAAAAATAAAACTTTTAAATTCTTAAAAACAGACACATTTTATAATGTGTTTTTAAATTTAATAATCATATATGTTTTTCAAGTTATAAAGGTTTTGTTTGATTTTATATTACAAAAAATGGGGTTTTCATCCGCAGAGAACCCGTTGGCACCATTGCATTTTTATTCGCCAAGCTCGTGGTTCATCGACGATGAGCCGAGCCTTAAACGTGATTTTTAGTGCATGTAAATTCAAGTTAGCAGACAAAACAATATATTAAGCATATGGTAGTAAAAATTCACAGATAATAAGCATGTAGATGTAAAACTAACCGGTTGACGTGATATATGAAAATAAATTTGTATTAAATTTAAGTTAGCCCAGAAAAGAATGTATTAAGTATAAGCATTTATAACAGAAATAAAAATTCATTTAAAAAATATAAATTAGTATTAATATACTGAAATTAACCGGTTAAACGTGATATACGAAAAAAAAATTGTCTTAAATTCCAGTTAACACAGAAAACAATATATTCCTTACACCAGCAGTGGTTTGCTAATTTTGATGACTATGGTGACGCATCAAACTATTCTGTCATCTTAGATAACCAATAATATTTTTTATTTCAATTTAATCATCTATTTATGTCACACCTGCCATCCTCTGAAAGGTTATTGTTAGAGCATTAATATATCATCTTGTTAAAATTTTATGCCGTAAAAATTGATTTATTCTCATAATTTTAGATGACAATAACAAATAATAAAAATAAAAGCATTACTTAATTATTTAAAATTCACATGCACGTTTTTGCGGCCTATGAAAACAAATTATTTTATAGGTTGGAAAGCTCATGGTTCTTTCTGCTCATGGTTCTTAGATCTGTTAATAATTAAGAACACAACGTGAACAGCCGTGTTACAAATTAGCATTCACCCCTCCCGCCGTATTTTCTTCCTTTCATACCGAACCGAGAACCGGCATCTATCTACGAAAACGTTTCTATCTATTCGTTGTTAAAAAATTCAGAAAAAATAATAATAAATAAAAGAAGTATAATATAAATCTGCAAATGCGAACAACGACAGTGATAATTCAACAAAATTTGAATGCAAGAGGAATAGTTGCAAACTTCGAACAAGCGAATAGGATAAATCCCCTGGGTTACCAGGTTTGAACTATTATCGCTAGAGTTGGCGATGTTTACATTTACCGTGTTCTCTGCGGAAGTGCTTCAAAAAATGTATAGTTTACAAAGCATTTATATATATTTCAACAAATACTAGAAAAGGGCTTCTGGTACTTGTAATATTAACCAGTACTCTAATAGATTGGCAAGCCAGAGCCCTTGATTTTAATTTCATTTTTAAATTTTCACACCATTATTTTATCAAAATCTTCTGAAATTTAGTCACAATTTCACTCAATCAAATCTGATAATGTAGTTCACATATGCAACATAGAAACTATGTCAAATATCAGTGACTAAGGATATATGGATTAGGTTTTTCATGCCATCTGTTTTATTTATTTCATGTTTATGATTGCATAAGAAGAATTATGTGAAATAAATGTTGTATCACAAACAGTGACACTGAGATGTTACTTCACACTTAACTGATAAGTTCAGCACTAATTAGCACTGTAATTGTTAAAGAAAGTATCCTAGCTTTTAAAAAGCTTCGTTGCATATAATGTGAACTTATTTACTTTAACAGTTTAAGAATAAGAAGGGTTTGTGTGTTTATTCAATTCAATATGCAAAGCATGTAAGGGCTAGCTGAAAAAGGCATGCTTTTGTAAATATTTTCTAGGGTAAATAAGCTCGTATTTACATCACTTAAGGAAAACCGCAAAAATGTCACAAAATTCACAACACACATGTGGAAAAAAAAAAATAGCCTGCATAGCCAGCTCATTTATCAGGATCTGAGCTGAGATTGAACTACCAGTATTCAGCCGTCTTAACAAATCGTAGGACAAATCTAAAGAAAATGCTTGTAATATCATGTAATCAAAAGTTAACTATGTATTGTATGGCAGGATTGCTTTCTCAAGTACCAAGGTAGGGAATACTTAATCTATGCTTTTTTTTTTTTTTTAAGTATTTGGTCATGGTATTATTCATTATATGTACTTTTCGTAATTCATATAAAATACTAATATTTCTATTACAAGTGTCTTTTCTTCATTTTAGTGTTTTGCTTGTAGATATTCTCAAAATGGTATCTGATAATTAGTATAATAGGTATAAATACAATAGATGTACATAATAGATCAGATGTGGTCAAATTTTATGTCAGTGAGAGCCACAACTGCATATTTACATCATTTAAAATAGATGAAATAGGTTTCAGACAGCAAGAAATGTCCTATTCCACACAATCATTCAGTGATAGTCTTAGTTCAATAAGAGCCATGCGTCTGTAATAAATTAATGAATGTATGACTTTTAATACATCCATTTCACATAAACAGTTTTTCAGTGTTATTTTTTTCAATTTACTTTTAAACAGCTTAAAGCATTTTATGTTGAAACAACTGTCTGTCTTTTTCATAATATATTTGACAACACAAATAATCTTTAAGAGTACTGAAGTTCTCTTCAGTAGCATTGATATAACTAGAAAATTGTATACTTTATTATTTTTGAAGAGTCATTTGCACTTAAATTCATTACACAAGTAGTGGTTTGCTAATTTTGATGACTTTGGGAAAGCATAAAACTATTTTGTCATTTTAGAGAATCAATAATATTTTTTATTTCAATTTAATCATCTGCTTGTGTGTCACACCTGAAATCTTCTCGAATGTTATTGTTGGAAAAGCATTAACAATATATTATCTGGTTAAAGTTTTAAGCCATAAATAATTGTTTTTTCTCATTATTTTAGATGGCAATAACCAATAAATAAAAACATTACTTAATTATTTAAAATGCATATTTTGGCGACCCATGAAGTCAAAATATTTTAGGGGTTGGAAACCTCATGGTTCTTTGTGCTTTACGTTAACAGCCGTGTTACCAATTATCATTAACCCCCTTCCAACCATATTTTTTCCCGCGAACCAGCATCTGTCACTAAAAACTTCCTTAATTATATGAAAATATTTCTATCTATTTATTGTTAAAAGTTCATAAAAATAATGTGAAAATATGAAAAAATAATAATAAATAAGTGAAGAATAACTTAAATTGGCAAATGCAACCAACGACGGTGATAATTCAACAAAATGAATGTAAGAGGAATGGTTGCAATCTTCGAACATGCAAATAGGTTGAACCCGCCGGGTTTACCGGATTCTTTCCAGAAGTGCTTCCGAGATTTTATTTGAACATAGTGTATCAAGCTTTATTTAATATATGAGTAAAATGGGCTTCTAACTATTGGGCAAATGGTTGATTGTAAAATTTCGGTACTATTCCGTTTGAGCGGCGCCAGTTAAAAATACGCAGCTTTTTTTTTTTGCAACCAATTGTTGCCGATTATAAAATTATGAAATAATAATAGAGTTCAAATGACTAAAAAAAAATTAGTTTTGTAAAAAGTAAATTTTTAAAAAATTTCTTAAAGGAAATAAATTTTATTTTAATCTTTAAGCTAGAATACTCTACATAAATAAAAAATAACAAAACAAAACGAAATTCAATCTGAACAAATGGCATAAAATTACAAATATCAAAGATCATGATTATATACCAGTTATATGCCCTATTCAAAGTAATAAGAAAAATTTTTTTTTATTCTTTGTGATTTGTAAAATTTTAATGTTTCCCTTAATATAAAAAGCAGAATGTTTTTTACTTTTTGAAGTAAAACAACGGTTTTTGGCACATGGATGTTACTGTTCATGTATACACATATATGTGTACATACGTATGTCTTTATATGCACATACACATATATCTGCACATACATACATGCATTTCTGAATTCGGTTCCCGATAACAGAAGAGTGCCCAATTTTTTTGCGTAGAAGAACCACTGGTAGCTGTTGTAAAAATCTGTTTTCTAGAATCAAAGGAGTAAAATCTAATTTTTTTTGGGGGGGGGATACTAGCAATCTAACATCTAAAAAGAATTTACTAATTAAAGTTTCAAAAATTACATAGATATAAAAAGTTACAAAAATATTTCATTTTCTTCTTAACTTTTAACTACTGTGAGCAATCTGAGAGACTGCTGAAGGTTTTTTAACCATCGTTTCCACCCTAAAAACAGAGAATGGACCCTGTCCTGCTTCCTACCTTCCAAAACTAGTCCCACAAGGTCACATATCCAGTTTTACACTACTAGCTGTATTATGGTTTCAGTTACCAGGATTTTTACTTTTTAATTTGTGTGGAAGATCACTCACAGCAGATGCATACCAGTTTTAGTGGACAATAGACTTTATTTATTGGATGCTTGTTTTTCGTAAAAGTGATAAATATGGCTTCAAATTTTACAAGAGAAAATCTCCCATATATCTCACTCAAAAAGAAATTAAATGTCCTGTCAATAATTTTTCTGATGTAGAATACTGTGATTCTGAAGAATCATTAGAACAATCCTTGGAGAGAATGAAATTAATTATTAATTTATCAAATCTAGAAGAAAAATTAGACAAAAGAAAAACATGTAATCTGTGCCCGCCTTGTAAGAAGAGAAAATCAGCATACAAACGCTTGGAATGCAAGGAGCCAGTATGTCTTCAGTGCTCTCAAAAAGTGTGTTTCAATTGTGTATCTAATCTATTAATAATTTATAATTAAATTCATTGTTGTAGAATTATAGTTTAATTGACAGTAATACTTAATAAAATGACATATTTTCATGCATGTTTAATAAAATCTTTGTTCTGTAAAAGCTTTGTTCCTTAAAACAAAGAAAATAGTATTTTTTTATGTAAATTAAACAAAAGTAAAGGATTTATGTTTAAAATATATTGATTTAAATGAATCAGAATTCCATAAATATGCATATAACATTCGTTTAAAATGCATAAAAGTATATATTTTTACGCATTTCTTAAAAGAAATTTGTGGGACCTCTCATAGTAATTATGCTGAAAATATTGTCACAGCAGTTAAAGGTTAAGTAAAAATATCTGCTGTTACATATTTGTAAAATTATTGAATAAAATTAAAATTCAATGCTGTAAGGGTTTCAGTTTTAGAAGTTTGTTTCTATATTTTTTGGGGAGGGGATGTAAATTAGTATAAACAGTAAAATTTCAAACTTTTGAAGAATATATATTTACTGTATGAATAAAATTAGGTACTTTCACATTATTTGTACCCACTTATAAATCAGCAACTCATTGGCATTAATTTTTTGCAAAGCTAATATGTGAAAGGCAACAGCCATTTAAAAAATAGGGGCTTATTAAGTATTCGATAAAACAGAAATGAATAAGTAAAATTAAAAAAGCAAGAAATGGTCACTATAAAATATTTACATTTTTCAAGAAATTCTTGTGTAATTTTTTAATGCACTTTCCCTTCCCCCTCTATGAGCCCAGCAACTGCACAGGAGATCTTTCACTTAAAATTAGTAAGAGAATGGTACAAATCTGACATTGTAAAAGCTTTTATTCTCTCCATATACACAGCAATCTGTTTTTACTTAAATCAGAAGTATTGCAGAAATTTAGCATCTCGCAAAAATTCAGTCCATAAAATTAGATTGTTTAAGAAGTACAACTTCATGGGATGTAAATTTTTGCATTTTGTTGGGCAAAATGCCATATTTCTGAAGAAATACATTGCTTTCTTCTTTGTCAACTGGCAAACTCCACAGTCCCATTACGAGTTTTACAAGAGAGAAAAAAAAGGTACTTGGTGTAAAAACAAATGCTCACCAGAAAAATGACCATCAGATTTTATGCCAAGCTGTGCAATTTAGAATCAATTACAGATAAGCATGATTTAACAGCACACTTATGTGCTTTCATTTGATGTAATGCTGATTGATTTCAATAACCCACTTTTTGTTTTTTTATGAAGAAGAATATAAATTAATTGTTATTGCTATGTTTTTTCCCTTGCATTTAGAAAGCAATGATTAAAATTTGAGACCTGCCTACTACAGTATAGCAAGCAGCGAATTATTTTCAAAGTTATGTGATTTACCATTAAAAAAATGTATATCAATGGACATGATATAATCAGCTGAATATGTCCAACAAAAGGGTAATAGATTGGGGTAAATACCTGCAGGAAGTTTTTTCTAAAGAGCTTCCAGTAAATCAGTGGCGCTATTAAAATAGTAAGAATTAGGGAAAGCCTTTTTTTTTTTTTGCCAAATGCAAACATGGAGCAGTTTTGAATATTGGTTATTTAGTAAATAAAGGGGCATTGGCTCCTTCAAAATTCTGCAGGAATAATTGACACAACTTTGACTGGATATATGCCAACCTTCATGGCCGAGGGGATAATATGTAAGCATTTGATAGTGTTAGAAATTTTGTGGTAGTATTAGCAGAGTTAGAAATTTTGTAGTATTATTAGTAGGGCTAGAAATTTTGTAATTGATATATTATAAGGTGTCAGAAACATGTTTAAGTGCTGTATTCGTACCATTACACACAATTACAAAAAATGTTGCCTTTAATATAAGCATAAAATACCATACTTAAAATTACCTTTATTTAGAATTTAAGAAGTGCATTTTTCAGCTAATTGCTGACTGATGTAGTTAATCATTATTACTTTAATAGATTTGAGCAACATATTTAATCTAAAATTAAAAGCATTTTAGAACTCCTGTTTAGCAGTTTTATTGACCAGCAGTATGGCAAAATTAGAAAGTCTAATTATCTTATGTGAATTTAAGCTTTATATTTGATGTAGTCTAATGTAAATGAATAGTAGTCATATTATTTTACATGGATCAATAATATCAAATATAGTCATAATATTTACATGGATTGCATCTAATATAATTAATGATAATAGCTGGTCTAAATGAAATATGAAGTCAAATATTTTTTGTTCACCTGAGAGTTTAAATCCTCATTTCATGAGCATCTTTTAATTTCATTGTATAGAACTGGATTTTAAATGATAGTTTATTTTATTGATTCTAATAATTTGCTTTAATGAAATTTCTTAGTATGCAGCATTTAATTAGTTTCGCTATTGATTTAAAATGTATTGTTTATTTTAGTATGTCAAGAATCTCGAGGAAAGGTTAGCTGAGTTAAAAAAGATGAATACATGGTAAGACATTAAAATGCATGACTAAATATTTATAATGTTAGTAATTCATGTGTATTTGTAAAGTGAAATCATACAGGAAATTATGCACACGAAAAAGGTGTCTTTAAGGTAATATTACTTGTTAGCTTAAAATACTTCTTGGTTTTGTTTGATTTATGCTTATTGTTATTCTGTTAATTGTTGACCTATTTTAGTTAAAGTTTCTGTTCTCATTTTGGAGCATAATATACAATTTATATTTTAGTGCTAAATATTTGCTAAACAGCTAAATTTAGCCACATAATAATAATAATAATTGTAATTAACTTTTAATATACAGTACAAAGTCTGAAATCTGGATGTCCAATGTCCAGAATGATCTAAAATTTGGACCGTGAACCCACCAACAACCTTTTTCTTTTTTTTTTTTTTTTTGTATGCTTTATGCATGCGCATTTGATTCCTTCCCCTATAATAAAATATGTTGTGAGTTCGATTCTTAATTTCACTTTGGCTGTAAATGAAATACCTCGTTATTGAAGAAACCATCATATTAGCATAAATTTGTGTGATCAAATAATTTGTCTCCATTGCTGCATATCTACTTGGCATACGTCTCAAACGGAAACATTCTACATAGAAACGTCATTGATTTTACACTTACTAATATTTTATATCCCTGATGCCAAACTGGCAAATGATTATATTTTGGTTTCATCACTGAATGTTTATCAACACATGACAACTTGAGTAATGACTCATGCCTAAACTCATGCCATAAAGATTTGTACACTGCTGGCCACCCAAATTTTTTTATATTAGTAATTGAATAGGCAGAGAGATATCAGTAACAAAATCTATTTAGTAGTTGAACATGTTGATCAAGCTTTGACAATGATTAAATTTAAGTTAAAGGCGCTTAAGAAATGTTGACAAAGAAAACTTTTAACAAAAATTTCTTTGCATATGCTAAAAATAGATTTTGTTAATGATACTTATAGGCCAAAAGATTATATTTAGTGCTATTTGAATTAAGAATGACTGATTTATTATTCACGTAAACCTAGAACCGGAACCAGACCTTGTATGGCCGCAGTGGGCGGGAGAATTTAGGGAAGACAAAATTTTTGGAATTCAAGCACTCGGACCAAAAATTAGCAGCTGCAAAAATTTAGGACTTAAGGAAGCACTTGATAGCAGAATTTAGTACTTGCAAAGACTGCATCAGGTGGTAACATACCTAGTGATAAGCCTTAAGTGTATGTGGGAAGTTAGTTATTCAGAACTCAGATAAGCCACAAGAAATAGATGTAAGTATAGTAAATAACTAATATAATTCAGCCTTAATTGTCTCAGTGCGTAACAGAAGCAAGGAAAAAAAATAGTGAAACAACTTGTCTTGCATTGCCACTCTCACGATACATAACCTCTAAGCCATGGCGGATTCTATTAAGCTAGTCTGAAAATATGCTTTACTGATTCCAAAGGAATTTCAGTTAATATAGCAGATTGCGCTGTTCCTTAACTTTCTGATTTCATCCAGCTCATTATATTTTGCAGACTGTTACTATTACAGCAATTTTATGAAAATTAAAGTTTAAACATTTGATTTTATCAAAAAGAGTTTTTAGTTCTGGAGCTGCAACAGGATCTACAAAGCGGAAGCACATTTCGATGTACATTAAACAAAAAGTGAAATTCCTGCAAAAAATGGATAAAGATGTACCCGTCTCAAAATTATGCGAGGAGTATGGCATTGGAAAGTTAACTGTATATTATGTAAAAAAACAGAAAAAAGAACTTTTTGAATTTTTGTGGGTTCTGACATGCCTTTCGCAGTGAATAACAGAAAAACTATTCGTTATGCTAAAAGTGATGACAATCATGACAAAGTGATGATTAAATGAATGAGACAATGTTGCAGCAAGGGCATGCCATTGAGGGGTTCAATACTAATGGCTCAAGCCAAAATATTTCATAAAATGAATTTAAAAACTGAGTGCACATATTTGACAAGTTAGTTAACCAAATTTAAAAATCCCTGTAGTATAAGGCAATTAAAAATTTCAGGTGAGAAAGCTTCAGCTGATACTGAAGCTGCTGAACTATTTGCAGATGAATTCATTGAATTCACTAATAGAGAAAAGTTATCTTCAGGACAAATTTACAACGCTGATGAAATTGGTCTTTTCTGGCAATATGTACCACTCTACAGAAAAGGTTCCAACTGGTGTCAAAGATTGCAAAACTATACTAACAATTTTAGCATGCACAAATGCTGCAGGAATGCACAAGTGCAAAATTAAGAATTTTTCGTAATTTCATAATTTTACAATTTTTCGTAATCGGAAAAAATACACAACCTAAAGCATTTAAAGGAATAAAGGTTTTCTTCGCTATACATCATGCAAATTAAAGTGCATGGATGACACAAGCATTAATGAATGATTGGTTTGAAAATCATTTCATATCCGAAGCCTGGCAACATTTGAATTCGGTTGGTTTACGTGATGATGCAAAAATTTCCTGATTGTGGACAACTGCATGGAAGTGGACACTTCACTTAAAGTTTTAATGAAAGATAATGTATCCATATTATTCTTTCTTCCAAACTGTATGTCCATCATTCAGCCTATGGCTATCAGAATAATGTGCATGCTGAAAATGCAAATATAAAGTAGCATTTTTAATGTCCATGTTAAATATTTCTTGAATAATGGCAAGACTATTCAAGAATTAAAAAAATATTTTAGCATAAAATTTACTATGTGGAGCATTACAAGATCGTAGGAGGATGTGTCTTCAGATACTTTAAAAAATGCTTGGTATAATTTATGGCCAGCTGCCATATTTCATGGTGAGTGTGATGAAGATGATAGCCACATATTTGAAAGCTTTTGGATATCGCAAACCACAGGTGACATTTTCCAATTAATGGATTTTGTAAAGAAATGTGAAGAAAGAGTAATAAATGAAAATGATATAACAGAAGTTTTTCATTGTGATGACAATGCTCCAGTCATCAATCAATTAATGAACTGCAAATTCTGTAGTACGGTTCTAGATCCAGAAAATACCACTATTAATATTGAAGAATGTGACAGAGAGATTATTGAATGTGAAAAAATTTTGATTGACAAGGTAATCGGAATTCTCAACAAAGCAACTACAAGTCCTGAACAGTGGAACTTTGTAACTGAACAAGAAATTATATCTGTCTATAGAATTAAACAGAAAGTATTAGCACAAAAAACAAAGCAACTTCATTGAAAGAAATGTTTGATAAAGTAAACAAATAAATATTAAGCTTTTTTTTTTGGTAAATTACTCCTTAGATCATAAACACTTCAAATTATTTCATAAATCACGATTTCATATTTGTAATTTTATAATTTCTACATGCCATCTTACTAGATTTGAACTGATGATCGAATATCCAGAAAAATCCCAAATCCGGGATCGCCGAAGTCCCAACGAGTCCTGATCTCGGATTTTGTACCGTATCATATTTAAAATTATTATTAACATCTTTGGAGAAAAGTTGCTATTAACATCTTTTGGAAGATGTGACAATGCTAATCACTCTATTCATGTGATTCATTAATAAGTTTTTATTCTATTTTGTACAACGATACTTTTTTTTTGCTTCCATGTCAGATCAGATGCAGTGAATCAAATTTTTTGGTCCTTGAATTTCATTATAGCAGGGTTCGACTGTATGCAGTGTTGGAAAATTCTATTATTAATTTCTTGATACTTTCTGAACTCTATCAAAAGTTGCAAGCTTCTTGGTGAATGGAAAGCATTCATGAACTCGTTAGTGACTTAGAGAGAGAATAATGATAAATGTCGCATTTGTTGGTGATTTTGGAGATGTCTTTAATGTTAATAATAAGATTCTATCGCAGAATTATTGAAAAGGGCTCTGTAGTTATGTGAGTATGGGCAAGAGATATGTTTATTGGGTGGGATAGCGACAGCTCCTTGCCCTTTGATTTGCTTTGATGCACATAATTAAAAGATTGTGCTATTTTAGCATTGTAAATTTAGTTCTAATAAAATGTATTAGGTGGCACTCAAACGATAATTCTGTCCAAAATATATAATATTTGTCACTGCAAATATCTTTTATTAGTGTTATAGTGCAAATGCTAATAAAACTGATCAGTTGGATCTGTTATGAATTATGTAGGTGTATAATGTTATTAGTTGCATTAATTAGAGTTATGATTGAAAAATAAAGCTATGATATGAAGTATGTATACTGAAATGTCAAAAGAATTGGGGGTACTTACGTATTATCGCAACCAGGTTGGCGCTATTTGTAACTTTGAGTAAAAAAGGATGAATAGAAAGAAAATGTACATTTTATTAGATAATTTTTAATACAGTTTTTTTTATTTTTTTTTTAAATATAAAATAGCAATAAACCTTGGTTCGAATTGAATATTGACCCTATACGGCAACCCTACGTGGGATACGTAGTTTTGTAAAACGAGAGTGGAGATCACTATTTTCTGCATTTCATGCAACTTTTTGTAATTAGAGAAATAGAGTGTACATGGATAAGTCAAGAGTGTGCGCATGCCCTTTTGTGCATTCTTATGTTTTTTAAGTAAAAATAAGTCGACGTGTCATGGTTCTGGCGAAACGGTCTTCAATCAGTGCAAAAGCAATAGCCACACGATTTCCGCGAAAAAAAATCGCACTTATTCAAATCGAAACGGAAGGGTTTAAGTGCAGAATTTTTTCGGCCGAAATCTTTAACTAGTGCTTTGCACTGATGAAACCGTATCGCAAACATGTAAACGTCGACTTATTTTACTTAAAACCCTAAGAATGCACAAAAATGGCTTGCGCACAATCTTACATCCACTGCTATTTTTTCATAAATTACAAAATTGCACTAAATGCAGAAAATTTTGTGAATCTTCCACATGCTCTTTACAAACTACGTAAACCCTAGGGTTGCTGTCGCCAAGTAGGGTCGCCAAATTTGGCAATTTATGCGAATTTTGGCC